ATGGCAAACAACTTCAAAGTTATGTCTGTCGACAGTAAGAAGACGAAGCTGTTATGTTGACAGAAGATATATAGTCATTTCTTCATACACCACCTCTCCTCGCTTCCTTATCCGGTACTTTGACGATTGTTGAATGATATTAATCTCAACGTTGTACGCCAGAATTTTTAAGCTTTTACTCCCTCTCTGTCTATTTCTTACTTTCTTTCCTTCTCTCTTTCTTTCCATTCCTCTCTATATGTTCAGTTCATAGCTTTTTTTTTCTCCAGTACTTGGTTGAAGTAGTCACATAAAAGAGAGTCAGAAAAGGTTCTTTGGTTTGAAATTGTTTAGAAATAACATACTTGTTGGTGTACTGCGTACTTCACCCGTGTCGAGCTAGAAATAACTAGAACATACGAAAGGTGGAAAACTCAAAACTCCCTTTAGAAAAGCGATTTTTCTGCTTAAATTTCAAGGTGGTACATGTAAAGACGAACTAGCAAGGGAAGGAACCCTTCTAGCTACGATGAACCGGCATATGATGCTGGTTTAGTACATACTTAAACTGGCCTTCACCAGGGAAGCTGGCTCACGATGGTTGAACGAGATCACGTGTAACGTGAGCAAACAGCTATGACCGAAGTTGGACGCGAAAAAAATTTAAACATCTTATCCTTCTGGACTGATATAATAACTGGACACTGTTTTATGGGGCTTCACGGGATTATAATGGGTTTTTACTCTAACGATTTCAGCCGCAACTGTAGAGACCTCTGCCACTGTCCAGCCTTGACATCTGCGCAACACAAGTTTCTTGGGAAACACTTCTTCGAATGTGTTGCTGAGTTGGCCTCAGTGAAAATTGGAAATCTCGTTGCCTTTATATGGCACACGAAATGGTTCGATCATTTGAGAAGGCAGGAGCCTCAGCGGTATCACAATGTGCCTACTGGCTTAAATGGGGTTGACCAGCAACCGCCTCAACTCAACTCAACTCATGTGAAGGTAGTCAATTATATAAGAGAATCAAAGTGGAGGGATAGCGAGTCGTGGAATCGAAAAAATGCCGTGATTAATGTGCTCTAGATTTCTAACTTCCAAGCAGTAAACTTAGTGAAAAATCACATTAAACATATCATGCTCCCTGGTAACTCAGTAAAAAAAAATTTCTGGGAGGTGGACAAGCTAACGACCTGTACGAGAAAATCGAATACCTTAAATCTGGTGAACTATTCTTTCGGAAAGTGAACCAGGGATCGTTCTTTTAAAAACAAAATTAATTTATGCTACGATTTGAAGAAGAAACTTACAGAAAACCACAATAACGAGCGGCCCTTTTCCCTATTCCTCTACAGTTTTGCATATACTTTGACAACTCAAATTACAAAAATCACTTAGTAAAATTTTTTCTGTCGTCAATCTCTATTTCTATATAAGTAAATAACATTAATTATACATAATAGTAACTTTAATGCAAATACAAATAAAATTAGCCGCTTAAACACGCAATCTACGCCCACGGTGACCATTTGTGATATTTAAAGGGTGTTTTTTAGAATGTGGGATTCAATAATAAATAAAACGCATATATTTGAATTTTATGGCTAAGAATTGAGCTGTTTTATAAAGATAAGGCTTTGCCATTGTGTTTTAAAAATAATTTTGGGCGAGTGACCGTCGCGGCTGGGTCGTATAAATTCCAGCCAAAATATTCAATTTGAAACCAATTTCGCAGCAATAACCCGCCGAATAATTCTTTATCTCGGACTTATTTGCGTAGGCAAACGACTTCGCATAACTCGAAAGAAAACAGTCAGCGGTGTTAAGTCGCACGATATTGAAGGTCACGCCACACGCCCACGCCGCAAAATAATGCGCTTACCAAAACTTTCCTTCAATAAGTTAGATGTTTCGTGGACAATGACTTTTAAAGAATGTAACGGCGTTTCAATAATGGCGTGTGGAATTTGAGGATGTGTGATGCAAAACCGATCCTTGGTTATTCGTATAACCGACTCTATTGGGTGATTATGTCGATGTGGACGCAGTGATCCGAACAATATTTTTTTAATAAATTTGCTTGTTTGCAAACATTGTTTTGGAGCAAATCTGTTCATCATGAAATGGCAATCCAAACTGAACTAAACCAAGTAACTTCTGCCAAAAAACCAACTCCGGAAAAAGTGTTATTGTAATTATTATTATAATTGGTGCTTTGTAACCGCTGAAGCGATTTTTCGGCCGAGCCCTTCCTCCAATTTGTGGTTTTGCGTCTTGATGTTTTTCCAACAAAGTGGAGGCACCTTCAGTTTATACTAAGCCGCCTCCGAACGGCTGATGGTTTTTTTCTTTACGAGGAGCCTATATTTCATGTACGAACTACACTCGGAGGGGTAGACAATTCCTGGCGACCGCAATTTGAAAATTTAACATACATTTTTATTTAAACTAATTTTCCATAACTTTTGGATGTTGAGCAGTACGCAATGCCAACCACTTGGCTACCGAGACCGCCAAAAGGCCGCGGAAAAAATATTGCTTCATTGAAAGCTACACCCTTTATAAATATATACTTGTTCATATAAAATTGGGCATAGTCTTTTATTTATTATGATTTTTTTGTTTTGTTCATTTGAATCCGGCTATATGCGAGACCGCAAATAAACCAGTCTTTGACTCATTTGGCCAGCACGCTAAACGCCATCGAATTCCAACGAACCCACACATGTTTGAACATACACACATACATAAATATTTACGAGTATTTAACTGCATGTGCGTCAAATGCGTCAGTTTGAATTTTTTTTCTCAATTCGTATTACCCTTTATTGGCGAAAATTTTAGTTTTTTTATTCATAAAAATATATAAATATTTATGCTCCTATATTCATACATGTAAAAAATTAATTTAATATTTTTATGCATAATTTTCAATTTCACTACAACACATTTTTCGCACCATTTTGGTTATTTTTGAAGTACACTCATTCACCAAATTCGCACGAACCCACATTGCCATATTTATTTTGTTCACCTCATTACGTTTTTTGTTTATTAATTAAATTGGTTTAATGACTTACTTTAACTTCCGTTATATTTTCAAGTGTTTTGAGTACGCCTTGTTCAATTACTATTACATATTTATGTACAAATGAATTTGCATATTATTATTGCGTTAAAGAATGTAAAAAGTAAGAGCATGTGGATGATTTTTGTAATAAAAGTTTGGTAATCTGAAGGTCAAAGAATTTTTCAAAATAATTAATTTAAAAATTCAGTTGAATTGTTGATAAGAAAATAAATATGTATATTTTTAGTAGTGGTTATAAAAAATGTACATACACTTACATACGTAAGTTTGGAGGGTATGAGTGTAAGTGCCGCTGGGTACCTCAGTTTTAGAAACCGTATAGCAGTTGCTACCTTTAAAATAAACTTACAGGCCCCTTCTCATTTGTTACTTTTCTTTAACACCCGAAATTGAATTTGGTATTCTGGCGAACTGGTTGCAATGTTTGAAAAAAATTTGGCAGCACTGCTTTCTTCGTCCATGTCAAATTTCATTTGCCAGTTTATAAAGTAAAAAGAGAAATATTCACATCGAAATGGAATTCGGTGCACAAAAAAAATTAAAAAGTTTTATTAATTTATTTATTAAATCATAAATATTTGAACCTAATTATGGAAAATATGCCTGGGCGACAAAAAAAGCTGAATGAAAACGATATCTCACAAATTAAAGGGCTATTTTTCAGTCTCGAAAACTTCTTAAAATACGGCTTTTTACACTTTTTTCTTCATCTCCAATGAATTCCAGGCCTAAAATATGCCTACCCATTTTGGTTTTTATTTTTTCTAAAACTAACAACACAAAATCAAACAGCAGACATTTTTGTTACCTCCTATTTCGCTGGTAACAAAAGTTACAGGGTAACAGTGAGCTCAGAATACGAAAGGGTAACAAAATTTACTGAATGGTTAATTTTAATACCAAAGCAAATTTTGTCACCTCGACAGAATAGGCCTGTTAACTGTTATAGAAAAGTTAGTTTCTATATATTCAAATAAAAACTTTAATATTTTATTTTTTAAGTTAAATTTAAGTTGAGGTACAACAACTTTCTTTTTGAAAATGAAAATTATAAAGATTCAGAGAAATGAAAATATTTGAAATTAAAAAATCAGTAACATGTAAATTAAAAGTTGAAAATTGTAAGTTAAAAATGTTGAAGTAGATTCCTACAACGGTTATTGAAATATTTTTAAAAACCATATTTCTCCGAAACCACTTATTCTGCAAAAATATTTTTCGTAGAGAAAGACGGCAAAAATAATAATTAATTACCCTACGTCTGCATTGCAAAAATTTACGTAACACACCAGATAAATAATTATATGTATACTCCAAAGCTACTCGTATTATTATTCAAACACATAAATATGTGTACATACCATACATAAATCTGCAGTTTTCTCAAATCTTATGAAACTATTTCTCTTTTTTAATTTCGTGTTACAGAAAGTTGTCACAATTGCATGCCGCCGAAAATGCGCATGCGCTGACGTTGCATTTGTGGCGTAAGCAATTGCGATGCGTTACTCACATAAGTACAGACTATCTACAATACATACTCGTATATGTATTGTACATATTGATAGATATGCCGTTATGCACAGTTGTGCAATGTGCGTAACAAAAATTTTTGTGTGCCTTTCCATTGCGTTTTGTTTGATTTTGAATGTGTTGCTTAGCGGTATTTTATAAGGTGTACTTAATATATTTCTTTTGGTATGTCATCTGGTGTTTGACGACAAAAATCTTTTTAAGCTTCACGTTATTTTTGATGAAAATATATACTGTAAAGTTTATGCAACTTTTTTGAAATTTTAAAAATTTAATTATTACTAAATTTTAAAATTATCAAATTAAGATTTTAATTATATAAAAAACACTCAATTGATTTTCTTTCTATTCTAATATTGGATAATAAGAATTTGTTTTCCTTTTTTTCTTTCAGCTTCCGCGAGGAGCGGCTTGGCAAACCCTCTTCCTATTATGTGCGGTGCTTTTCATAAATGGTAAGTTGAGGAAAAAATGCTATTAATAGCAACAAAGAATGCTTCAAATATTAATACGAGCTAGTCAAAGAACAGAAAAGCCTTTTTATAAAACAATAAAAACTCAAAATAATGCTTACCTGTACTGAATTTATATGCACGACTGAAAATAATTTCCTCATTTACAATTTTTCAAAATACGAATTGATGAAAATACAGATGAAACATTTCGCTAAAAATACCAGTTAATCCAGCACACTCTCCACCTTGATCCTTTCAACGGAGTGCAGGCACTGCCCCTTCTTCTCTGAACTATGCCAATGTCGTCGTATATCTCCTACAATTTATCGTACCACCGACTCAGCAATAAACCCTTCAATCGTGGCGTTCATCGTGGTGGCCGGGATAGTCGAGTGGTCAGTATGGCGTACTGCCATTCGAAAGATCAGGATTCGAGTCCTAGTCCAACCACCATCCAAAAATTATATAATTATATAAAATTAAATAAATAATAACTGGGGTCGCCCTTCCAGTGTATTTCTGACATGAAATAAAAGCTTCTTATAAAATATCATCGGCCGTTTGGAGGCGGCGCGGAAGGCGCTCACCCTAAAATCGCTTCTGCGGTTGTAAAACGTCAATTATATGCAATCCTGGTTCCTATTTCTAGCTATTACATATATTCGAGTTCGGTATCTGGTCTAACTTCTGGAACTGGAGAGCCAATTTTCACAGGCCCCTCCTGAGGCCTACTTCTCACCACTAAGCGCGTTCGCCATGGATAGGAAAAGATGGTAATCACTTGGTGCCAGGTCCAGGTCCGGAATATAAGGTGGGTGCATTATGATCTCCCATCCGAGCTCCTTGAGCTTCTGACGCGTCACCAAAGACGTGTGTGGCCTGGCGTTGTCCTGATGGAACACATTTCGGCCTCTGTTGATCAAAGATGGCCTCTTCTGGATGAGTGCTGCTTTCAAGCGGCCCATTTGTTGGCGTTTAGCGATACGGAAGCAACTTGTAGCAGATGATTCCTTGCTTATCCCATCAAACAGACAGCAAAACCTTTCTGGCCGTCAATCTGTTCTTGGCCACCCTCTGGGCCGCTTCCCCGAGCTTTGACCACGACCGTTTTCGCTCGATGTTGTCGTAGGTAACCCATTCTTCATTGCCAGTCACAATACGCTTCAGATACGGGTCGAGTTTGTTGTGATTCAGCAGCGACTCGCAGATGGAAGTTCGGTCCATCATGTTTTTTTTTGCGTTAGTCAAGCATCAACCTTTCTTTGAGTCCAAGGTTATTAAAATGGTTCCAAACAGTTTTCTGGCTTATCTTTAGTTCCTCAGCAATTAAATAAGTACTCATGTAACGGCCTGTTCCCGCTATTTCTATGATTTTATGGCAACTTCCGACGACAGGCCTCCCGACTCGTGGTGCATCTTTGACACCGAAATTACCCGAACGGAACCTAGCAAACCACTTTTGTGCTACTCGTTCGTTTACAGCCGCTTTGGCTGCTTTTTCACCTTGATCGAAGAGAAATTGTAAAATGTAGCGATTATTTTCTTTGCTGGCGTCCATCTTTGACGAGCGCTCACAACGTACTGAGTCAATCAATCGAAAAACTGTCAAAGACAAAAATTTGGGACGAAAAAAAAAACGTTTTCAGCGCCGTAAAGTATGACATGATGCGATACGTAACACTAGTGCTATGGACAATAACGCCATCTCTTAGATAAAGACCGAATGAACTTTTTACTTGACCTAATATTAACATAATAAAATATGTAATATTGAAAATGAAAAATCCAACTCTACGTAGAACTATTTAGTTTGATATATCTAGAAAATGTATGTCTTCTGAAACAGGATTGCAAGGACATGGAATGAGGTCTCTGTTTCTTACTAATAAAAAACAGTTTTTTTCAAAAAATCACATTAATTGAGCCCACAAATTTACCACTATTTCTTATCGCACTAAAAGCTCTTTTATTTTCGCGTGCGAGAATCGCTCTGACTTACAAAATTGCAAACTGAATTCTCTGGAGTAAGAATCGTACTAATTGTTGGCGTCTGTGTAATGTTTTCTCGTAAGTCCAAGTTCATTGACACCCATGAGCATGACCAGTCTTTCTCTTTGCAATGTGTGCATAACTGACCTATTAGATAAGGAAACCTACTGGTAATTCCGATTTTAAAATGTCTACTGATACATTTCGGGTATTACCACTCTACAAGAAGGCTTCTGTTTTTGTATGATGGATCCTTTTAAGACTGGATCCCCTTAAGCTCTAAAAACATTTTTTTTTTCTTTAAAAAAATATTCATTATTTCTTTACAGAGGTCCGTTCGGAAGGCAGAGTCGTTTGCTACTACACCAATTGGAGCGTCTACCGACCAGGCACAGCGAAATTCAATCCACAAAATATTAATCCATATTTGTGTACACATTTGGTGTACGCTTTTGGTGGATTTACTAAAGACAATCAAATGAAGCCGTTCGATAAATATCAGGATGTAGAGCAAGGTAAGGCCATGAAGAAAGAACATATGTAGATGTTTCTGTGATCTGAAATAACATTTAAAAAATTCAAAAATCGTACATTATTTGTGTCAATAATTCTGCTAGTTTTGTTTTCTTTTTTCTATTTTTATTAATTTTGAAAATAATTTAATTATTTATTTAATTAGTTACCTTTTTTTTAGTGAAAATAAAAGCTGTATACATTTGCACACCCTAATTTACGAGTTTATGTGTAGCAGCTAATACCGTTATCCATAGTTATTTGCTCAACTTTTCCCTTTTACTCCTTTCAATTGAAAGAACATGGTAAACTCAATTAACTCACCACCTTTTACTTTCTTTCCAACGTACAACACCTCTCCACACACACGTACACAACAGGCGGCTATGCCAAATTCACCGGCCTTAAAACATACAACAAGCAATTGAAAACCATGATTGCTATCGGTGGCTGGAATGAGGCCTCATCACGCTTCTCACCACTCATGGCCAACCCGGAGAGACGCCAACAATTTATTAAAAATATTTTGAAATTTCTGCGCCAAAATCATTTCGATGGCATCGATTTGGACTGGGAGTATCCAGCACAGCGTGAGGGTGGCAAGCCACGTGACCGTGATAACTATGCACAGTTTGTACAAGAGTTGCGCGCCGAATTCGAACGAGAATCGCAGAAGACCGGCAGACCACGTCTGCTGGTGACAATGGCTGTACCAGCGGGTATTGAAAATATAGAGAAGGGTTACGATATACCAAAGCTGAATAAGTACCTTGACTGGTTCAATGTGCTCTCATATGATTTTCATTCATCACACGAACCATCGGCTAATCATCATGCGCCGCTGTACTCACTGGAGGAGGAGTCCGAGTACAATTATGATGCAGAGTTGAATATTGTAAGTAGTGGGAGTGAAGTTGTGCAAATATGAAGTCTGATGAAGTAACTGGAATTCTGGTTAATATAATTGATTTTCTTGCACTCTCTCCTCTCTATGGCATTAGGACTATTCTATCAAATATTATTTGAAAGCTGGCGCTGACCGCGACAAGCTGGTGCTGGGCATACCGACTTACGGACGTTCGTATACGCTCATCAATGAAGAGAGCACGGAGATTGGTGCGCCATCCGAGGGACCGGGCGAACAGGGCGATGCTACACGCGAAAAGGGTTACTTAGCTTACTATGAGGTGAGTTTATGGCAAAGAAAAACCCTATTTTTATATAGTTAAACTTACATTTATCCCTCGTTAGATTTGTCAAAACCTGAAGGAAGATCCCGAATGGACCGTCGTGCAGCCAAATCCGAACGCGATGGGTCCTTACGCTTACAGACGCAATCAATGGGTTGGCTATGACGACGAAGCTATTGTGCGCAAGAAAGCTCAATACGTTGTCGAACATGGATTGGGTGGTATTATGTTCTGGGCCATCGACAACGATGATTTCCGCGGTACTTGTACCGGCAAACCCTACCCACTAATAGAAGCGGCTAAGGAATCGATGCTGGAGAGTTTGGGGTAAGCTTTTAACAATCTGTAATGTAAGAATTTACATAAAACAAAGTCTTTATTCCTTCCTAGACTTGGCATTAACGAGGTCGCTAAGCACAATGCCCCTAAAAAGCCTTCACGTTCACGTAGCCGTGAAAACTCTTCATCGAAATTGAATCGCATTGGTGGCAGCAGTGAGGGCAAAGGGGCTGGGCGTACGACACTAAGTAGTGGGCGCAGACGTGTGCAAGCCTCCACGACTACAACAACAACATCAGCGCCGGAAACCACGATAAGACTTACCAACCCTGAAGGCTCTTCGCTTTATATCGGCGGTCGTGTGACTACTCCGGCGCCACCTACTACGCCCGACCCGGGCACTGGTGCGTGTTACTTTATAAGAGCGCTTTTGTTATTGCTTTAACTCTTACTTTTGTACTCTTTGCAGACTTTAAATGCGAAGAAGAAGGTTTCTTCCAACATCCCCGAGATTGTAAGAAATATTATTGGTGCTTAGATAGCGGTCCGTCAGGTTTGGGTATTGTGGGACATCAATTCACCTGCCCGTCTGGCTTATACTTCAATCCTGCTGCAGACTCTTGTGACTTTGCGCGCAACGTACCTTGTAAGACAAAAAAGTAAGTTCCAAATTTATGCTGCTTTTTATTAAAACTAATACTGGTTTCAATACAAAATCTTAGAGCCACCACCCCGCTACCTGTCAGTAGTACTACTACAAGCACAACCACTACACCGCGCCCCACAGCATATCTTAATCGCATTACCGCAGCCACTTCGCGTACGTCCCTCTTCAGAACCACTACCACCACTTCCACGACGCCAGCGCCCATTGAGTACGAAGATGAAGAAGAAGAAGAGGTGGACGATGAAGCGCCAACGCATACAAAAGACAGAGATGCTGAAGAAGACCCACAAGTGATAAAAGAACTCATTGAACTTATACGCAAAGTAGGCGGTGTGGAAGAGTTGGAGAAGCATTTGCTACGTAAAGACGATGGTACGATTTCAATTAAAGGTAGCGCTAGCAGTGAATCTGGTGGTGCTACAACGCCAACGCCCATCAGTAAAAATCTTTACGACAAAGTGCTCAGTAAACCCAACACCTTCAACTCGTTCCGCAATCGTTTTACCTCCTCATCCCTCTTCAGAAAAGCAAGTAGTGGCCAAACTAATACTGAAGAGTCGACGAGTGGCAAACAAGAAAGTGGCGAGTCACAGTCTAGTGAGGGCGCGAGCAACAGCGGCTACTCCAAGTACTCATCTGTAGTGCGTGGCAACAGCCGGCAAGGGCCACAAAATGAAGGACTCGATAAATTAACTGAGTTCGATGGTTTTCTAAAAGAAAAGAAACAATATGTTACAATAAATAGACACAGAGGTGCCTTCAGAGGTCAAGAAGATGACGAGGAAGTGGATGAAAGGGAAGCTAGCGTACAAGCAAATGACGATATTGAAGAGGAAGAGTTTAGCAGCAGAAGCAAGAGTACTAGAAAACCCACAAACACCGTGACACCCTCCTATGCCAACATAAGACGCACACGACCCACGACTGTACGCACCGATTCCGATGAGGAAATCGCGAGCGACGCAGAGGTAAAAGCTTCAAAGGAGAGCGAAGAGAGACGCACATATACGTCGTTGAATCGCAATCGTGCCAGAATTACAACGACCGAAAGTAGTCAAGCAACGAATGAGGCTATAACTAATGCAAATAGGTAAGTGAGGCTTGATTTTGTGGAACGGTCTTTGAGGTACGGTGGTAAGCTCTATACTACTATACGAGTGTAGCCCCTTCCGTAAGAGGCGACTAAAATCCAATAGTTTCCGCGAGATTCGGGTCTTTATAACGGAACGACCTGGTTTTTTAACCCGCCAACGACTATCACTAAGGAAACATTTCTCAAAAATTACTTTAAGGAATATTTTTGCGGCTACAACAACAACAATAATAAAATAATTGGCACTAAATTAAAAGTTTGTTGCTACATATAAACATCATCGAACACACTTAGGCCAGATAAGGACACGTTCCTGACTATTAAACTTCACTATGCAATCACTTCGATTCTTTGGTATCCCTCATCGATGAATAACCTTGACGTCGTCTGTATATCGAATAAATCATCTTTCCCGCTTTCCCTTTTTTCCCTATATTCAGTTTCTTCATCTTCATTGTCCCCCATATTTTTCTTCTTTTTTGCCATTTAGTATCGAACGTCTCGTCATAGACTGCTGTTCCAGATTCACCATCTCCACATGTTTCGCTTCCACTGTAACACAGCAAGCTATATAAGTGTTCCCACAAAACAGCATGTACCTCCATAAACTCAATTCTGGCATTATGCTTTGGTCACCGTAGAAAAATGTTGTTGTTTGTCCCTCATAAAAGGAATCTTTGGTCACATCGTCCTTCATTTCCGCCGAAGCGTGGGTAGCACTAAGCTGAAGGGCTTCGCTCTGCGTGTAACTCTACTAAAGCTACCTCTCTCTTAAGCTGATGAATTGAGTACAAGGGGTGGCCCACATTTCCATCCCTGCGGCGATAATGGAGTCATTGGACTTGAGAATAGTCTTGCAACTGTAACCGCATACCCAAAATAAGCTTTAATCCAGATATAGAACCAATAGATATTTTGATTGGGGTATATTCCAACATTATCACCAGTTTAATTCGCTTCTCTTTTTCATATTCTATATTTAACCTATTCACTTCTGTCACTTGCACATAGTTCTAAGCATACAATATAATTTTACTTTAAATGGGATAATAAAATCAATTCAAAGACCGTAACTACACTCACTCTTCTTCTCTCAAAAACGCCTTTTAATCATGTGTCTTTTGTCCATAGGTACAAATATCTAGAGCGTACACGTCCCACAAACAGAATACCGACAACATCAAGCGAGCAGGAGGAGGAAATTTCACTCGCACACAACGAGGAGGAGCAAGAGGACGACGAACAAAATGTAACGGTACAATTAAATGGGGCCACAAATGACTCCAAACAAAAATCAACACAAACCACAACACGCATCTATGCGAATATAGGTCGTCGTACCACAACAGAGACTCCCATCACCAACACCCAAGAAACTCCAACTAGATACAATTTATTAGAAAACCTCAATTACAATAACGAAACACCTGAACCAAATTTACCAACTACTCTTACCGCCGCAAGCGACTCACCCACTACCCTATCCATAACCATTAAGAATACTAATCCCCAAGTCATACCCATCCAAACAACCGCAATAACCGATTCCATTACATCCACAACCGCTAGAACAACAACTAATCCATCCAATGATATCGATTTAACCGAGGCCGTATCCACAATAACCACGCTCCCGCCAAACTTTGTTGAGTCTGTGGACTCAAATGAAGCCCTAGACCTGTCGCTTGATGTGAATTCCCTTATTGAAAAAAGTACGAAAACCGTCGAAACGCAGGAGAGTGAAGTTGCTGAGGCAACACTGACAACACCGACAACTGCTCGTACAACAACAGCAACAAGAACGACGACAAAAGAAACACTGACAAGCACTGCTACGGCAAGCGGTACTGGAACAGCAACAACAACCACTGACTCAACTGACCAAAACCCCGACAGCGACGCCAACGCCAACGCCGACGCCGACGACGAGGTAACAAATTTAAATAGTAATAAACGTTTAAGAACACAACAACAATATAAATTCATAACAAGAACACGTAATGTAACAAAAGCAACTGCAACAACAACAACAAACACTAACACAGATACAGACATAAATATTGAAAATGTGAATGAAAATGAGAATGAGACAGGCAACAACAACAACAACAACAACAACAACAACAACAAATTCACGAAAGAAACACTCAAGAAGAAAACTAGTCTAAAAACAACGGGTAATAGTAGTAGTGGTGGTACTAGTACCGCGGATAAGTTAAGTAGTAATGTTAGAGGTAATACCGTTAAATACTCTGGTGGTAGAAGACAACAGCAACAACAACAACAACAACAACAATTGAACGAGTTACTAACTACTCGTAAAAATCTAAACCACAATCAACAGCTAGATTCCAAAACGGATTCCACAAACATCATAACCACAACCGACTCAACACCCACTAACGAATTCCTGGGTACTGTATCCAGTCCCAGACCTTTCGGTTTCCCCCGTCGTCGTACACGCCCGAATAGTACAACGACGTCCGACACACAAACCACCACCACCACCACCACCACAGCTACTGAGGGTTCTTCTGAAGATGAACTAAGCTTAGTAAAGACGAGGTTGTCAGCGTCTAATGCAGCCAAAAATAAGGTGAGTTCCAATTCAGATGTGTTGCAAGTACAAAACAACGGATTGGAAACAGATCAAGTCGATGAGGTCAGCACTACGCGCACTCAAGCACAAATGAAATTGCACACACCACAAATGCATGTACATAAAGTAGTAGTAGACGGTATTAGTGGCATGAATGAAAATAGTTCTAGAAGTAGCAGTAGTAATAGTAGTCTAAGGCACATTGTAGATAGCACAAATAGTTTAAGTATCAATCGAACGGTTCAAGAAAAGAGTGACAGTCGAGCGAGCAGCGAATTGCTCACGAGTAAGAGTAATCAAATTGAGGACGTTCAACTCGCGAATACTTTAAGTGGTGAACACAAAAACACGGTTAGACTAACACAGCTGAACTCTGTGACCACAAACAGTAAAGACGAAACATTAAAGGCAAGTAAGTATCGCGGTAAAAGCTTAAGCGAGTTAGAGGCAAGTGTTGAAAGTTCTACGGCAGCGCAGAGCGTGTCAAATTTCCGTAGTCGCGGCTTGAAAATGGTCAGCGAAGAAAAGGATGAAGTGAAGCTCGTAAGTGCGGGTAGCGAGTCAAAAGAAGATGGTGAGAGTAATACAACACACCTTAGCAGCGCGGATAAGCAAGATCGAGTGTCCGAAGTAGCCACCCATACCAACGAAACGACGATAACAGACGAAGGTAACGGCATGTTGAAAATACAAACAATCTATACGACAATTACAAATAGCGAGGAGCACATCACGCAAACGGGTAAACCAACTACAGAGGCTACAGGTATTGAGCGCTCGGACAATAGCTCAAACACCGCGAAGAGTAGCAAAACTTATGCGACAATCAATGGAAGCCGCACAGAGGACGCTCAGGAAATTCAATACGACGCCAACTCAACGGCAACAAGCGACGACGATCTGGGCACTACCAATACGACAACTACCGAAACCAATGACGATGGCAGTATTGTGCGAAAAACCATATATACGACGAAAAAACGAGATGGCAGCGGGAAGATCATCACAACAATAGTAGAGGAGACATTGACTACGCGTACGAAAATAGAAAACTCCGAGGTGACAGGTGAAAGCCAGCACAGCGGTTTTGAACGCAAATATCAAACCATTACAAGGCATACGGACCCTTCGCTTAATCCTAGTACCAGCAGCAGCACCGATACCGAAACTATACACTACAACACTATTGTGCGCGGCACGGATGGTGTAGAGTTAAACGAGGATAAATCGTCATCTTTCTATCGTAATCTCGGCGCGGCGGCTAAACAAGCCGAACAAAGTCGCAATCGTATCTATCAGGGCATCTCACGCGGTGGCCAAATACCTCAAAGCAAGCACGCCGGTGAGCCTTCTATTGAGGTTATAGAAAGTGAAACGCGGAAATCTACAGAAAATAGCGCGGCGAGTTCGTTTGAACGTGGCGCAAGTAAATATCAAACAATTAATCGCTCACGAACGACAAGCGCGCATGAGGTAAGTTCGTCCACATTAAATGAGCGCGGTAGCAGTAGTTTTACAGATGAGAACGGCAAAGAAAAAAGTGACGCTTCTATTAACGAAGCGATTACCAAAGAAGATCGTACGCAAGCTAATTCAGAGAGCGGTGTAAGCGTGACAAGTGGCGTTGATACTTCTACCTCTTCTACAATCGCAAGCGCGTCCGTCGATGGTTCATCGGAAGCGGAAAATAACGCAGCTGAAATCACGGATAACGAAATTTCATCAACCTTACGCAAGCTGGCAGCAACCACTACCGAAACTATTGAATATCATACAGAAACCACTACCGAAAGTGAAACTACCACTATACAGCCTGAATTGATTAGCGATTACAAGGCTACTAATTTTGGGGTAACAAAAGTTACACCTAAAGCCAATGAAACTACTCTCTCATCCACCGAAACAGTAAAGACTTCCAGCAAGAAATCTTTTACACATCGCAAAAATGGCAACTCGTCAGAGGATTCTACCGAAGCAAAGTCCCGTTCCGAACCGACTATAGCTTCTAAATCAGAAGTACATTCAAGTGAAATAAAGACGCGGCACAGAAATATTACGTCCTCCGAAAGCAAGGAGAATAGCTCTATTGGAACAACACATAGAGTTCGTGGCATGCCTTCCGCGGCCCGAGCGAAAGACTTTCACGTAGCAAGTAAGCCAAGTCGTGGTAGACCAACTACAACTGCCGCACCTGAAATTGAAGATACGACTTTACTGACCTCATCCGAATCGGCAACTAACAAAATAACTTTTGCACAACACTTAGTGAGAACGTCCGCTGAAGAGAAGAAAGAAAGTTCCACTGGTTCAAAATTAAGAGTTCGTGGTGAACGAACGACAACTGCTGCACCAGACTCTACTTCGCAGCCAAATACCACGGCTCAACCAGATACCTTTATTCAACCGGATACCACCACCCCGAAGGAAATTGAAGACACAACGGTAGCCTTCACATCAGAAACTCAAGAAGTAACTGAAAAGGGAGTAAGCTCATCCTCGGAAGGACAAATATCTAAAGATCATGGCGGACAAACAACGACTCCGACTCCTGAAACTACAACACCCAGTGAATTTGAATCGACCACACTGTTTGCTTCATCGGAAATTGAAACCGGAACTTCTACTACTGAAACGGAAGCAAATGTTCACAACAGAAATTTCACACGACAAAGAGTTGGAGCTTCGTTTAAAAGTTCTTCTGAAAGAAGTTCAGCTACAAGCAATTACAAGGCTCGAGGTAAACTAACGGCTACCGCTGAGCCAGAAACTACAGTTGAACCAGATGTTGAGCCAACTACAAGATCATTCTCAACTCAAGCTGCTTTATCTACGAACAAACCAACTTTCTCACGTAACAAAGCGGAAGCATCCTCCGAAGTCACAGAGGGCAATACAACTGGATCAAAAAACCTTGTCCGTGGCAGACCAACTACCACCGCTACACCAGACAATACTGCTCATACAGACATCCAAGAGGCTGCACATAGACGTACATTTACCCGCCACCAAACAGGAACATCCTCCGAGGTGACTGAGGACGAGTCCTCAACGGAATCAAAATACAGACTTCGTAATAGCCCAACAACAAAAACTCCCGCACAAGAAACTATAATCCCTGTGGAGATTACTAGAGATAGTACATCATCTTTGAATGAACACAGTGCTGTTATGCACAAGAGAACATTTGCCAGGCACAGACTTGGTACGTCCTCCGAGTCTACTGACAGTGACTCTACTGAAGTAAGGACCAGGATGCAAGTTAGACCAATCACAACTGAAGCACCAGAAACTACTACTATTTCAGATGCTGAAGAAACCACATTAGATTTCATAGCACAAACAACCACGCCGCATTCAATTACAACAATTGCACCGGAAACCACCGCTTTCCCTCTTACTGAAACTTTGTCTGGTGAGTCTTTAATACTACATAGCGAGGCTTCTGTAACAACAGAACAACGCCCCACTGAAAAGGACATAAGAGTTGAACCGTCTACGACTGAAGCGCCAACTACTGTTTTACCAGAGATTGAAGTTTCATCACCTACTACAATCGCTTCAATTGATGCAGTCGAGATTCCCGTCGAAACAACGACAATAGCTAACCCACCGAGCTCTACGGAGTTCTATCAACGGGAGAAAACTACAACCCCTGCTTCACCAACCACATCAGAGCCAATACCAACTACCACTAATCAGGATAATCTTGATGCGGAGATAAAAACATACCAGACAGAAAATAATGTCAGCACTGAAAGCTCCAGTACGCTTACTACTCTTGGTGCAACCGAACAAACTGAGGTACCCACAACGGAAAAGTCAACAGCGCGTGCCCTGCAGAAAAGTTTTGTAGCTCGTAAGGAGAGCGAACACTCTTTCACTACGTCAAAAGATTCTTCGAATGTCAAAGAAAGTAACGAAGAAGCAGCAGCCATTAACTCAAATATTAACCTGAAGCCTAAGACGTCCAATGTAAGGAGCCGTGCCCAAACCACACGTGGTTATGTGTTAAGAAATAGTGCTCAGACCACTGCTACTTCCGTAGAAAGCGGGGAAGCTGATTCACAAAATACGGCACAACGTGAAACTACAGCTCATAGTCAAAGCGCAAGTGCGAAATCAAACATAGAGCGAGTCTCAGAAACTGTCTCCTCAACAACCGAAACTCCAAAAAGACGCACGACCTATCGTGGTACCTACAGGCCACGAACGGACAAAGATGAATTATCCTCTTTACTTGCGCTCGATGTGAATAAACATCGTCCGTATAATGAAAGCCATTATAATCTCGGGAAACGCATATACCTAGATGGCATACATAAAGAGTCCGCAAGCGAAGAGCTAGCCAGCGCGTATCAAACAACTGGCACACAGCTGGAAAGGACTCAGTTAGACTCGTTGTCACATTTAAATATTAATGGAGGAGAGAGCCGAGTCGATGCGAACGGCGTTGAAGGAGCTCAAACCGACATTAGAGCCAGTGGATACAGTAGAAATCGCACGGCTATCAACAATCGTAGAACTACCGTAATAAGAAGGAGAATAAGTGGCGCAAGAAATAGTATACAATTGGGCAATGAAACCACTGGTGTTCATGGAAATCAACAAAGTAATGGACTTAATGAAACTGAGCCCAAGTTTTCGTCAACCATAACGGAACTTCGAAGAAAGGGAAGCTCTAGTGATAACGAAAAACTTGCTATCGCCTTGAACGCCCTACAGAGGGAGGCAGTAGAGTCGGTAGGAAAGACAAAGACTGCGACAACTAGTGATACTTCAAGAGAATTTAAAGTTGGATCTATGGGCTCTGCCGATGTAGCTGAAGACAATGGCACGGCCGAGCAAGAAGGAGGTGCTGAAAGTGCTAGCTCGAATGTTAATGCTACTAAAGAAATAGCTTCAATAAAGCAAGAAGAATCAGAAATTGAAAGTGAACTTGAAATCAGTGATACGAAGAACAAAACTGCAGACATATTAGCAACTGTTGGCGCAGAAGAAAACTCGTCCAAAATTGCAGTTAACAAAAAGACTGTCATAACAAGCACCACAAATTCCCCGACGGGTCTTAAGAGCGAACTGAACCTTGAAGGCTCCTCTGAGAGCATTGAAGACGAAGAAAATAACAGCACTTCGAGCGCTGCCGCGAGTGTGAGCCGACGGCATCCTTTGTCTAAAAGTACAAAAACTTTACAAAATTCAGAGAGTAGTTCAACAGCCCGCAATGACAGTGCTTTAGCGAGCTCGAGAAGACAAGGTTTGTTTGCTAAAAACAGAAAACTATTTAAGACTGGCAGTAGTGGTGCCACAGCTGACGCAGTTGCTGTAGAAGAGTCTGACCAAGAAGGTGATAACTCCACACAAATTTCCAAGGCCACCAATGAAATCAAAGCCTACAACCGCCAGGAGGCCGCCGACGTCCAAATGCCTGAAGAAAAGAATAGCAACTCATTGAGTAGTCGCACATCTAGACTTAAATCAACCAGCGGACGTTCTAGATACAGTGGGCGAGCGCAGTACGCAAACCAAGGGACAAGCAGAAATGTGAACCGTTTGAGCGCAACGCAAGGTGTCTCGACAAAAACCGAGCTAGAAGAAAATGGCGCCACAAAAACACAAACCACCTACACGCAAACCTACAATAGAGGCGCTAACTCACAGAACACTGTTAAACGCGTGCATACAAAGATCGTACAGACAACCGACCCGGAGTATGAGTATGTCTATGAGGTTGTCACCGAGAAGATACCCCCGAGCACGCCGCGACCAGTAACACGTAATCGCGGTGGCGTACGCTTCCGTGAATCGGATTTGTCATCCTTACTCTCGCTGGACTTCGCATCCAAGTCGAAGCGTAGACAAGAGGGTGAGAAGACAATTGTGAAGACACGTAGGAAGTTAATCAAAAAACCACCGAAAATAACGGAAAACGAAAATGTCGAGGAATATGAATATGAAGAGCAATTAGGGGATCAGGAGCAACAGCAAGAAAGTGCAATCACGAGACCAACACGTCCCTCCACAACAAGTGCAGCTACACGTCGTACCAGACCGACAAGACCTTTACGTACAACAACATACGCAACGCAACAAGCTGCGGTTGCTGAGGAAGAAGAGATTGCAAGGGAAGTAGAAGCAACGAGTGCGGCGCCAAGGCAGGGAATCAAAACAGGGTTTGCTTTCAAAAGACCTATTACCAAGTTTAGAACAACAACTACTGTTACCGAAACACCGGTGCCAACAACGAGAAAAGTTTTTGCGTTCAAACATCCAAGTACAACAGTGAGCACCAACGTGGAACCTATTAGTACTACGGAGGCAACAACAAGCTCTGAAGTTGTAGAAACAACAGAGCGTCCAAGTTTACGTCGAAAAGTTATAAAACTACAACGTGTGAATAAAACAAAAACGAGCTCTGTAGAAACCAATAACGTGCCGGAAGCAGTTGCAGCAGCAAAAGTTGTGGCGACGTCTAGTATCTTGGAGAGTTCAATCCCGGAAGCTACAACTGTACCGATGACTACAGTTTCGAGTACCAATCTGTCGAGCTCCGCCGACGGAGGAACTGCAAGCATCAACAACAGCTCTTCAACTGAAGAAGTCGAGCTTACCGATGACTCACTTGATCTACTCAAGAAACAGTTCTCAAGCGCTATTAGCAAACTGAGTGAAAATAACGAAGAAAATGCCAACCCCAAAGAAAGCACAACCGTCCTAACAAAAACAACACAAACGACAACAACAACAAACACCACCAATGGTCAGCCCCAAATAACTACAGAAACCAAAACAAAAGTAACCCAACACAACGCCGTCTCACAATTGAATAATGAGCTGAGCGAGGCCGGTGAAGACGCCTCTCTTTCACTCCCCATATATCACAGAAGAAAATACTTTCAATACTATAAAGATTCACCAGTGATCTATATAGGCAAACCCCAACCACCGCCAAGCAGCGAGCAAAGAAGCAACGTCGATATCAAGAAACAAATACACGACGTCTTTAACATAAGTACAGATAATGATCAATCCGTCGCTTCAGCGGAGAGCGACAACAATAGCCTGGCAGTGGATGAAGCCACGACTGCACATAAAGAAACAGATCATCATTTTTTATTGAAAACCCCCGGGTCAAAGTAGATGGGCACCTGGGGGCAAAATCAATCGGAACAAAATTTACAACATCTGGAGAAGAATTAATCGATGACCAAAATGCAAGAGCCGAATTGGAAGCGTTATTAGCGACGAGCGCGAAAATAACGGCAAAACCAACGGCTAAAGAAACCACCAACAATAGCAGGACTGCTGCGAGCAGCACCGAATCAACACATCGTGTTGGAAAGACTTTTAGAGAAGAACCAGACTCCAAAATTACTCAACTTTCGGCCCTTAATACCGACTTAGATTCTGCCCTAAACAAACCCACTACTGAAACAATAATACTAAACCACCGCGAAACACCAACATTAAAAATAACTATACTCTCACCGGATACTAAAAATCGCACTGAAGACTCACGCGCTTTACGCAAATACGCAACCCTGAATCGCGTGCCTACGACAACCGAAAAAGCTGAGAACGAAGAGGAAGAAAACACTACCCCAAGCACACCAATACCAACAAAACGCGTCTATGGTACACTAAACCAACTACGTAAAAATTATGGAATCGAGAAACCAACCTCTTTACGCAACAACACGGCTGTGGAGGATTCGTCAAACAACAGCGAAAATTCCACGAAATCGACAAATGAACGCACTACAACAAATCAATCCGCTGAAAGAGATTTTGTAAAGGAAACTTTGAGTTCCGAGCCGCCACCAACCGCGGAGGCTTTAGTGCTTGACGCAGCAGGCGAAGTTGGCGAAAGTACAACTCGACGTACCTTACAAACTCTTAACAGATTAAAACAACGAACAACGACCCCTAAAGCGACAGTTGAAGATGAAAATCATGATAATAATAATGTGGAAGGCGCGAGCTTAGCTTCGGTGGAAACCGAAACAAGGGAGCCTCTGGCTACAACTACGAGACGAACTTTAGTTCGCCTCAATAGCTTGAGATTTAGAACAACGACGACTAAATCTATAGAAGAAAAAGAAGCGGAGAGTGAGCAAAATAATAGTGAGGATGAAGAAAATACTCTTGTGAAGAGTACCTCAGAGGCAACGCTGACAACTAAACGAAAATCTTTAATTAGCCTCAACAGCTCAAGATTTAGAACGACAACTGCTAAAACTGTTGAGGAAGAAGAGAGTAAGGAAAATGAAAATGAGTCACCATCCAACTCCGCGCTAAAGGCCACAGCGAAAGAGCCTGTGGAAGGAACTACACGTCGATCTCTTATTAGTGTAAACAGTGTGAATAGCTCGAAATTTAGAACAACGACTGCTCAACCTAGGGAAGAAGAAGAAGAGGAGAGTGAGGAGAATATGAGTACAAATGAGGCAAATGCTTCATCGGAGGAAATGCCAGAAAAAACTACGCATCGAACCATAATTAGCCTCAACAGCTCAAGATTTAGAACGACAACTGCTAAAACCACCGATCTCGAAGATAGCGAGAGTGTGGAAAGCAATAATGTCAACGATGCACGCAGGTCAGAGAAAAACTCAACTAGTAAAGCCGTTGAAACAACTACTAAACGCGCTTACAATACCGTTAATAGACCAAAACTTAGAACCAAAATATCTAAGCCCACAAGTGGGGAAACTGATCAGGGTGAAATTTTCACTACAACCCGGCGAACTTTGATTGCCTTAAACAAATTTAGAACTGCAATAACAGCGCTAAATAAAGAAAGGCAAGAAAGTGTGGAGAACAGCTTGGAAGAGTCAAACGCTGTAAAAAGTACAACGCGACGTCCTTACACAGTTTTAAATCGGTTCGAAGCTAAATCTACAAAAGAAGCGGGGGCCGAAGAAATCTCAAACGAAAAAGAAAACACGCGAAATTATGCAACTATAAGCAGATTAACCAACAGAGGTTCAACTAGTAGCACAGAGAACCTGTCTCAGTTAGCCGACGAAATGTTGGATGAGGAAGATGAGCAAGTAGTCGAAGATACCTCTAAACGTACGTACTCAACTTTAACTCGCATTCGTACAACAACCGAAAGTACTGAAAGTATTGAGAAGAATGATAATGATCTGGCTAAGAGTGAAGAGGTTAACTCTGAAACAGAGCAAGTTGCAACTCATCACCCCGTTTTGATCCGAAAACGCATTCACGTAACAACTACTACAAGAACGCCGATCTCAGACACGACTGCAGAAGAAATAGACGGTGTCACAAGCACTGAAGCCACGAAACGTCGCACTGTCATCATAAGAAAACGTATACAAAGTAACACAACGCCCATACCTGCTATTGATGAGAGAATTGAAAATATAACTGAGATAGAGGAAAACGCACAAACCACAAAAATACCGCCAAAGTTACGCAGGCGTTTAAATGCGACAGTTCCCTCAGAGGGCACGGAGGCTGCCGATGAATCCACCACAATTACGCAAACACCCACAGAGCTTTTCTCCACAACGCGTCGTCCTTTAACGAGCTTCTCCCGACAGCACTTGAGCACAACAACACAATTACCAGCAGAAACGTTGCAGGGGGAAGAACACATAGAAACCACTACAGCGGAAGCACTAAATGATACACGGAAATTAATTTTTGGACAAACAAATCGACATCGAGCGCTGTTACTGCAAACAACAAAAGTGCCAAATGTTGAGGAGCAGACAGCAAATGAAAAGCAAGCTGAGAAAACGGAAACGACGCAGCGAGCGAAATTCGCCCCACGCGGAAAGGGGCTGCAAGCAACTACTAACACCGACGAGCTCAAGCCGACTCCAGAAAAGCCCACGCAAGTATTATCAACCACAAAGCGCACTTTCAAGTCTTCACTACATTTGCGTCCAGTTTCCGCTGAAGGCAGCGACTCTCAGTCTACAGCAGACAGCACAGAATCTGTTGTCGAATTAACGACACGTCGTACGTTTGGTCTTGTGCGACCGACTACAGCCAAAAGTGCAACGGATTTGACTACCATACGCACACTTAACGTGTTCGCACAGAAAACACGTCCGACCACAACAAAACGACCCTTGTTACCCACCTACAATCGTAATCTCTATCAAAGATCGGAAGAAGAAGACGATAACGTATTTGATGAATATGATGAAGAGCCAACGCCACTTAAAATTAAAAAGCCAGCATATCAAAGCACGCGAACCTACACGAGCGAACGCACGCGACCACAGCTTGACGCACGTCAAAAATTCAACGCACGCCGACCATTTAAGCAGCCGACTGACAGTGACGAAGAGACTGACGACGATTACACGGATGTTGACGATGACTATGAGGAAAGCTCGGTTGAAAACACTGGAACATACAGACAAACGCAAACGAAACCCGCCTCTAAGGAGTTAAGCGATAGTCTACAAAATTTACGGAACCGTGTTAGGTTGAGTCAGACACAGAACGATAATAATGAAGGTATAGTGAACTCTAGACTGCAAGTACTGTTAGCAAATAGAGCCAAGACGACCACAAAACCAGATAGTAAAGATGTTGACGACGCATCAGCCAAGGGCGCAATCAGTGTAAAAAGTAACGTAGCTAATTCTCTTGTAAATCGTGGTAATACTAACCGTTTCAGCACTTTAATTGGTACTAAAAATAATTTAAGACTCAATCAATCTAACAACACTCAAATAACCGTTCCAATTCGTAGTAGTGATGTAGTTAAAGAAAAGCAAGAGGAAGAAGCAAGTGAGGCTGATAATGATTATAATGATATTGATGATGATGATGATGATGAAGCAATCAGCACTAATGTTAAGGGTAATGAAGTTAATTCTAAACGACGTTTTCAGAAATATCAATTCAACCGCGCAAGATTCTCAACCACGACCACAGCGACACCTACAACAAGCACTACTATAGCGACATCTACGTCGGCAACGCCTCGTACAGCTGCCGGCCTCTTCGTGCCGAAACAGTTGTACAAGTCGAATAGAAATAGAACGGCGACAACAACAAATCAGGTAAATGCGTTAGTAGATGTTAAAGGGAATGAAGATGATGATGAAGAGGATGAAAAAGATGAGGTTGAAGATGAAGAAGAAGAAGATGAAGAAGAAGAAGAAGAAGAAAGACCAGGAATTGACGTAGCAGTTGTTGATAAAGAAGTAAATGCAGACAGCACAATCACCACCACCACGTCCACCACTTCCACCACCGATAGCACATTGAGCACTAGTCCAGCTCCTACACTAAGAAGAATACGGGTTTTAAAGTACCGCCGTCCGATTAGCGGCAACAATAATGCTACTTTAATTAGTAATAGTGTTAGTGTTAGTGTTAGCGGTAATACCACAAACTCTAGTATTACTAATACTATCAACACTGCTCAAGAAAGTTTAGATACTCCCAAGCAAGTAGAACGTACTAGATTAGAACCTTTCAATTCCACAGACTCGAATACACAACAAGAAACTCAGAGTGAAACACCAGTTAGTACAGAACAACCAAAAAAACGTTTCCGTAAAGTTATACGCAAACTTATACGGCCGGTTAACCGCACTACTACTACCGAGGCTCCGCCGACTAGTGATGTTACAGCCGCAGAGGAAGAGGAAGAGGTGACACGCATTTATGTGAGCAACCAAAACGCTGAGAAGGAAACGAAGAGCGAGATCAAGATTGAGAGCACTAGAACAAACTTATTTAGTAGAAATGGCCGTACACGTTTCGGGAATCGATTAATCGCGAACAGCAGCGAAAAAACGACTCACGAGGCACCTGATGCATTAGATGCAGAGACCGAAACAGAAACTGAAACCGAAGATGAGGACGAAGCGACTACTACACAAAATCCACGATCCACTTTTGTACGACCTATTGCGGAGGACAGAGTTAACGTACCAACCGGCTTTAAGTTGCCTTCCCGACGTCCGTTCGTGTTGACACGTATAAGTAGCACAACAGCTTCCGCTGTAGAGAATGAAACTACAGAGAACGAAGATGGTAATGAAAACGAATACAGTACGGAGGATGAAGAGGAGTTACAGCAAGGTCAGCAGCAAAAACCTGATATAGGTACCACACGTTTGAGAAAACTGCTGCCTGAAGTAAATACGACAACAATAGTAACAACCAATACACTAGAAGAAACTAAAGAGGCAGACACCACACAAACGAAGCCCACAGCGCCCATAGTCAGACTTCCTTTCGGTTTAGGCGCACGTATAAAAGCGGCTGAGCCTGAGAGCAATACAAAGACGGAAGAAAATACGACCGGAACTACAACTACACTACCAAGACGTCCATTCGGCTTGAATGCACGCACAAAAGCAACTCAAAGTGAAGATGAGTCTGAGAGCCATACGGAGGTAGAAACGAATATAGTTGGAACCACAACCACAACACCAAGACGACCGTTTGGACTGGGCGTACGCACTCAGACAGCTGAAAACGAGAGCGAAAGCCAGACGGATGTGCAAGAAAATGTAGAAGTGACAACGAAAACTACACCGCTTACACGACCTACCTTCCGTAGAAAGCTCGTCGCCAGACGTCCCTACGTACCACCGAAGGTATCAGGTGTAACCATTTCCACTACGTTATCAACTACGCCGAAACCGAAGAAGAAGTTTGTGCGTCATAAATTTGGACGCTTCCATCCTTTCAACGCCGCTAATCGTAATACTGGTGAGGGCTTTGTGCGTACCGATCCACGTAATCAGTTGTTACCGGAAACCAAGCGTTTCCGCATTGAGAATGGAAAACGTGTGCCCATACCGGATAGTGAGCAATTAGATGAAGATGACGAATACGAAGAGTATGAAGATGAAGAGGATGAAGAGTCGACGACGTATAATGATCAGAATAAAGCGCAAACACCTTTCGCCGCTGTGACGCTGCGACCGGTTACGCGACCAGCGGGTTTATTTAACAGAGCACCAACAACGTTGCTACATGCAGCCAAGGAAAAAGATGCAGACACTGAAGTCGACAATGAAACCACCACAGGTGGTAACGAAGAAGACGGCGACGATGAAGATGATGATGAAGACGATGAAGAGGAGGAGGAAGAAGAAGAAGAAGAACAGGAGACGGAAACATCAGACGATGATGCCAAACAATCTACACCCAAATCCAACACGCCGTTCTACCATCCAAAAGACAACCGCGTACCGCCTGGCGCAAGACCCGCGTTACCAAATTCCTCCACACCGGCTTCGGGTAATGCGCCCTTCAACGGCAGAACACGGCAGCCACAACCCTCAAACGCTGGGCGTGCCAATGGTAATCGTTTTGGCACTTCTGCGCCCGGTAATACACGTGTCACGAACAGACCACGCGTTGTAAATCGACCACAGGGTGTCGTCCCACCTAGCCTGCCGCTCAAACCAATAGCCACCACCTTCGAGCGCACTACACCAGTGGTGCCCACGAAACCGGCGCCATTTATATCAACCAACACTCGTTCGTACGAACGCAAATACACAGCCACCTCCACAGAGACACCGGAAACAATTAGCGATAACTCACTTATTGAAGATTTAAATATTGAAGCACTAAATGCACGCAACAAAAAAATATTCGATATCAATAGTAAGAAACACACAACCCTCAAACCGAAAATAGCCATAAGCGGCGCCATACAAACACCAACAGATCAGGAACAAGATACACAAGATCACCTCAGACAAAACACAGAGACAGAAAGTGATGATGTATACACAGCTGATGTGAGCGGTGCTGAACAAGGTTTCTTAACCACAACACCACGCACATCCGCCGCCAACGACACGAACACTGATTATTATCTCAATGCTAATGAAATCTCTTCGCAGGACAACGGCGGTGGCGGCGAACGTACTCTGTTTACCACCCCGCAAACACCCACCACGACACTATTGCACGTTTTCACGCTGACCGATGACGAGCAAACGAATCGTCCACCCATCGACAGCACCAACACCATAGGACGTCTGGTACCGGAGAAGACACACGCCAAGCATAAAGTAGTAGAAATCAACCGCATTGTCGAGATCACATCGAAGGCGGATAAGTTGCGTCGCAAATCGAAAGCAAATCAAGAGTTTACCAAACCCATTGGCGCCTCACAACTCAGAGTGGAGTCCTTACCACATCTGGAGCAACTGGGTGAAATAAGTGTTGTGAAATTTGTACATCTGGTGGACGGTAGTGATATTTCCATTGATGGACATAGCACCGTAACCGATTATACGCCCACAGAGCCCACAGTCTCAGCGCCAGTAAGGAATTCCCTGCCTGAAGGTGCGCCCTATTTTGTGCCACAATATGCATACTCAACGGAGAGTGCACAAACGCGTACCACGCTGGAACAACGCAACGGTAAAGCCTTAATACCCGAAGTGATACGTAGCGCGGTGGAGACTTCGACCATTTCACTGGAAGGTCTATTCGAAGGTGGACGGCAAGGTAAAGAATTAAATTCTATAAATTATCCGTACTACATATTCGGCTCAGACGAAACAACAACAACCAGTACGACTACCGTTAAAGAGAACATAAACGCAAACGAAAACGACAACGAAACACAAAACTCTCTAAACACAACACCGAAAACACAAACGAGCACAAGCTCGTCGTTACTGACTACGACGACAACAACAACAGCCGACACCACAACTAGCTCAACAACCACAGAGCGTGCTTTGCCCCCCCACCTACATAGTGATAGCGTAAATAACATACCTAACGAAATGTCCGCAAATTTAGAATCCACAACAACGATTATAGGTAACACCATTGAAGGTGAGAGCACAACCCAAATGCCGTTAATAGATTCAAACAACACCTTCACCACAATTGAGTCGTTAACAGTAAGCCAACAAAATGCTACTCTCGATGAATACGTTAACAGTAATCTTGTGGAAACGACAACTATAGTCGCGTCGGCATACACAGATGAAACACCGAGCACCGATATGGCGGTGAAGTCAAGTGCATACGTAAGACCCGTTGTACCACTACCACTCTTACGCCCTGAATCCAATGAGTCCTCTCCCCTAGTCATAACTATAGCCAATCTCGATAAAGTCATACTCAGTAAAGTAGATCGCACAATCTCAGCCGACACTAAAGCGGCTCAAGATACAGACCCCACACAACAACAACAACAACAACAACAACCGCAACAAGAAACACAATTAAACACAGAACAACCGCCACGGCCCGTTGACTCGAATGCGGAGTTCTCGAGCCGCTTTGCCTCGGTAGTTGCTGCGCCAAACAATCTCATACACGAAACAGATGCTGGCTTGGGTATAACTATAAACAGTGTTGGTAGTACTAGTAGTAGCAGTAGTAGTAGTAGTGGCAGCAGTGGCAGCGGCAACGAAAGTGTTGTAGGTCCTGCTAGTGTTACGAATAATACGAGCGCGAACAGCTTAGTTAATGGCAGCATAGTGAAAGAAACGATTAGTTTTAGCACAGAGACGCGTGTGGTGCGTAAAAAGAAATCCCGCAAACATAGGGGACGCAAATTGAGGAAGTCTAGAAAACATAATACGGCTACTACAATAGCGCCAGCTGATGTCGAGGCTGGTGTTACGTTGAGCCCAAAGAGCGTAAGCAATGCCGATGAGAGTGCACAAAATAGCAGCTCAACAGATTTGCCAGACACCACAACAACAGCGCCGATCACTACGACGACGCCGCGCGTGCGCGTCGTACATATTACGTAAAGGAACGAACGTTTTAGTGCATGCAGCATATTTTAAGTGTAAAAAATATAAACATTTTGAAAATGTAGAAAAGAATAAAGGAGATGGTTGTAATGTATATAGCCATATGGTTGTTAGTTGTAGGCGCATGCATCCATATTGAAGGAGAAGAAGAAAAAGAAGCAGAACCGCATTGAAAGTTGTGTTTTAGTTTTTTTTTAAATTGTAAGCCTTAACGAATATTTTTTTGTTTTTTTTTTCACTTAAAATACGCGTAGTAGATTATAAATTTCTAGTCTTATACTTATACAATATTTTGTGCGATTTTCTTTCTACATTATACATACGATTATTATGTTATTCAACATATGTGAATGTAAATAAATATGTTAGAAAAGAAATATTTGCTAAATAATTATTCGCTTCGTAATAAACTCGTATATTACTCAAATAAGCCCAGTAAATTAATAACCTTATCTATTGCTTTCCTTTTTCACTCACTCTCGCTCTCTTTCTTACTCTGGCTCACTGTCGCTCTCTTCTGAGCTTGATTTTTTATGCCCAATGTTGAATACTTATTAACTTAAATAATTAAAAAAAGATAATGCTAGAAAATAAATTGCAATTTTTGTTTAACTTATTTGAAGACTTAACTAAAAGACCGACATTTAAGAGCAGCTGTGGAGCAGCTGATAGCCTTAAACACAAGGTGCTTTCAGATATAGTATTTAAAAGTCATCGAATTGCATGTCAAAATAAAAAACTTAGAAAATTTTATATTAAAAGCAGTCACACGTAGTGTAATAATTAAAGAGAAAACTAATTTATTTCGCAATAATTTATTAAAAATCTTATCTGAAAATACTCAACACATTTGGCAGAACTTTTGTGAGAAACAAAAAAAAAAAAACAAAAAAAAAAGATTGATTTGAGTACAAAACTTGCAGTTAATTGAGTGCAGCTAAACTCCGCTACTGCTCTTTCTGTATACACATAGAAGAGACTCAGTTGCAGAAATTAGTTGCGGAATGGTTGCACCTACAAAATCTAAAAATTCAAATTATTTTTAGACATTTTTCGCGTTTTGGCAACTTTTGTAAAACTTGGGGAAAGCCTACTGAAAAAAATTAATCCTGCCTGATTTGTTATATTTTATAACCATCGGATACTAAGTATTTATCCACCTGGAGAATATACTGCTGAAGTATATAAAAAATAAAATTTTAGAAAAAATTATTTTTATTTTTTTTTTAAATTATGTATGCTAAATCCTAAATATTCATAGGCATTGGGCATAAAAAAGTTCAATTCCAATCGAATTTAGATTTCTATCAAACTCTAAAATAAATTAAAATTCTTGACTATTTTCTTGCCTGACAATTTGTTTTCAATTCAATTGGCTGCAAGAACGTTTTTTGTGCAGGTTGCTGACAAGACTAGTTTAGAGCTTTTTTTTCGCAATGGTTACCGTTTATTTACTACTTTTTCGAATTTTTTTTAATCTCTTTGTTTCACTGTGGAATCGTTAGCTTTCATACGTTTCATATTCATTTCAAATTTCAAAAAGCATACATATGTACGTTTGTATGTGGGCTGCCATGTTAAAAGTTCAGCTTTTAAATAAAATAATAAAGTAACTTGCTTGCTATGCTGCTGCTTTTTGCTACATACATATTCATTAAGCTTTTTCGGCGAATAAAATTAAAAAATAAACAGTAAATTCAAAAAATATCGCATAATCAACAATTTATTTATAAATTAAACATATTTGCATAAATGTGCGATAAATATGTAAAATGTGCAAGTTTCTCAGGCTGTTATCGACGTTAAAATGGAGATGACAAAAAATACAACAAAAATGTAATAACAAAACTTTTATTGGTTCAGTTAAGTTTTGTTAATTGTTCTATGTATACATATGTATTTCTTAATTTTTTCAAATATTTTCTTCTTACACACTTAACAACACAACACCTTTGTACACTCTATAAATATGTATTTATTTTTTATCATATATAACTTCCTTTCTCTCTTTGACTTTTTGGAAAATCCAATTTTTATATTTAAATCGATAAAATTGAAGTCACAAAAATATCAATTTATTTAGTTGTAAAAATATTTATGTATATTTTGTATATTAATTGCGTTTGTGAGTATCAATAAAACAAGAACAAGAAATGCACACAAATACTTCTTGTAAAAAAAACTACAAACATTTACTACATGTATATAAAATGCAGTACACTTTTCTTTACACACATTCTTATATAATTATTATTTTTTAAGTTTAAACATTTTTGTATGTAAAAATGTTTGGGTATATATTTTAACATTTTATTTACGAATTCTACTCAAATTAAACACTAGCGGACTAACAAAATTCTTTTTCAGCTCGTAAGTGAGACGTTCCACCTTTTCCCACTTACCGAAAATTATGTTTGATTGTGCAAAACTATTAAACATACTGAGAAAGTTTTAGTTTCAACAGATTCAAGAGATTTAGTCAAAAAAAAAGGTTTTACTTCTTCTTTAAAACATGAAAGCAGCAATGCTGACCTAACATATTTTCCTTTCAAACTCTTTTTGTGGGCATTGAAAAAAATTTAATCAATTATTTTCTATATTTAAAATTTTTTCTTATAATTTTTAAAAATTTTTAAGAGTTCTCAAGCATACGCAGAGTTGATTACAACTCTGTGCTCTTATCATTTATTCTTAAATATTATCAAACCAAGTCCTCCTCCGTCTGTCTGTCTGTTCGTGATAAACTCAAAAACAGCTGAACAGATTTTCGTACAGTTTTCACCAACACACAAAGTGAATGTTTAAGTTCTCGCTTTTCAAGTTTTTTATACGTTTTTATATAAACTTATATTCCGTTTGCTACTTAACACACTTAACACTTTTTTCAAAATTTTATGTTATCCGAAATTAAACCATTCTTGAGTTAGCTGAAAGTATTCGCCAAATGCATGCTGCGGCGTAGCATGGATTTTCTGTTCGCGACGTGCTCATCATAGAAAAGAAACACGATTTTCCCCTGTCTACCCTCTCTCTCTCTCTCACTCTCTTTTTTTCCACTGAGTTGCTCATGCATTCTGAGTAGTTTCTGCGAGCCAAATCCTATTCATGCTTTGTTAAAGACCTATCTGAGCTCTGAGGGAAGATGTGTACCCTTGTTGTTTGTCCATAGAATGTTCTTGTATCCTAAGATACAAACCACAGACATTTTACAAATAATATATAGTTTGTTTAGAGTTTTCCAGCATTTATGTTTGTCACTTTAAACGTAATGTAATTGCAATGAAGCAACTTAAAGGCTACTTGTAATACCGCAGAATTGAGCAGCCACAAGACGGCTCTTATTATTGCAGTTAGCTCCACTTCAGTGCTCAGATAGTCACTCGTTAAAGATGGCTTTTTATCTGTGACATTTTCGGTAATTTTTATGAAAAATCTGACTTTGTCTCGAATCAATGATGAGTTTTATATTTGAGAGTGTTCTCTACTGCAGTCCCCCGAAAATTTTATTTTATTTGATCTTAAGGAACTGTGGCTTATTTGAAGTTGGCCATGCATTTCCAAAAAAAGAATGCTCAAATTAATTTCAAGGGCTTTTGCTAGAGTTAAAATTGCTGTAGGCATCTCACTAAATATTTTCCAGTTTACCGTTACTTTATCATCGTTAGATTCGAATACATTCCCACATTGATTATAAAATTATTACTGACTTTTACTAAAAAAAAAACATATATATAAACAAGCGTAAAATGTCAAGTCACGCACCGAACATTAAACATTCCGCTTGACAGCTGCTGACTTGGTGCTGCGAGGTATCTTAAGCCAACCTCAAGTGTTGCCACAGTGAACTGTGCAAACAGCAAACAGACATTTGAATTGCTTTTCTTCATACCGAACTCATCTTAATAGGCAAAATGTATTCAGAACACATATTTTTATCGTACACACATACTATCGTATTGTATGTAGTGTAAAAACACTTGTTCGTCCACGTTAAACTGTGAATACCCATTTCAATCACGCATGTAAATGTAGAATAGTTTTTTTTTTTTTTTTTGAACTTGTGCAAACTTAACTACCGTAATCAAATATTCTAGAGTAGCTTCAAAAATGATTATATGATATGGAAAAAGAATAACAAAAGCATAACTGTGAAATCAACCGGCTCTTGAAAACTTGTACCCGCACAAAACAACGTCACTTCTTGCATATAAAGTAAATGCTTGCATAATCACTGCATATATATATATATATACATATTTACATATGCATACAAGTATGTAAGCAGGCATGAGGAGAATTTCATATTGAAATGCATGAGTAGGGATGACACTGCAAGTTTCTTGTTTATCAGTCAGTTTTTTTCTAATAATTTTTTTCGCCTAAAATGCAAAAGGGTTTGGCTGCAATTAAATTAAAACAGGAAATTTACTTACAAAAAAAAATAAAAACTAAAAATATAATATAAAAAACGAAATTGATTTTTAATTGCTTAATTTCTGTTTTTATAGATTTTGCATAATTCTCTGTGATGTTGCAAATATTATTAGCCAAATCCATACTTTTCGCTTGAACGAGCTCTAAGACACGAGTGCTCACCGCTTATTGGCATATGGCATATTGAGCGCAGCAACAAAGCAAAAGTTGCCCACACTGCATATTAATTTCATTTACTTAGCGATCATTTTATGCTTGAATGCAATTGTAAGCATGGTTTTTTTTTAATTTTGGATATTTAAAACCAATGGTTGGTTTTTATATTGTTTTTAGTTATAATTTTAACTCTTTTGCACCGGCTAAGTATACTCGTGCGTATATTTTGAAGAAACTTGTTTTTCAAAAATATCGTGCATACACATATGTACATATACATATAAGTGAATTTTGTTATTGTATTTAAAATTAATCCAAATGCAAATAAGTGTTCAAAATTAAGTTTTTTAAGTTAAGTGAAGGCGAGTTTTTGAAGTAAACAGACTTTTTGGTTAATTTGAATAAATAAAGAAATTTAGAGAGTTAAATTTAAGCCGTTTACTATTCGTACTCTCTCTCGTGGCAAATGTTACTGCAAATCTCTGAAATAAATATAAACCCATAGCAAGTGATATAATCTTTTCCATTTAAGAATATATTTTTATTGGATGAGTGCATAAGTTCGTGCCCAATTTCAAGTGCAAACTAAAATTGAAATTTTTTGAAGAAAGGGTTTTTATTAATCAATTATGTATTCGCCATCATGTTCGGCAATCCACTCCCAACGTTCAACCAATTTACGGATGTCTGATTCATAGAAATCGCGCGGTTTCTCGTTGAAAAAGGTGTCAAGGTGGTTTTTGACGTCTTCCACTTTTTAAATATTTTTCCATTCAAATTGTTCTGCAGCGATCGAAACAAATGATAATCAGAAGGTGCAATGTCGGGTGAATATGGGAGATGCTGCATGATTTCCCAATTCATCTCCTTAAGTTTTGCCAGGGTCGGTTTTGCAACATGTGGCCCGGCGTTGTCATGATGGAAAAGAACTCCTTTGCGATTGGCCAAAATCGGACGTTTTTCATCAATTGCTTTCTTCAATTCGACCAATTGCTGACAATACTTGTAGCAGTGATCGTTTCTTCAGCTGGCAAGAGCTCAAAATAGATCACGCCTCGGATATCTCACCAAATGCACAGCAGTACCTTCATCGGATGCCACCTTTCACCTTTCCAAATCGGTTCCGCCCCTTCGTGTGCCTGTTTCCATGTTCTTTTGCGTTGAACATTGTTGTACTGTACAGGATCCATTTTTCATCACCAGTCACGAGCCGATCCAAAAAAGATTCGTTTTTGATCCGTCGAAGCAAAGAAATTTTCTGTTGACATACGGTCTACTTTGTTTTTTTTTCACTCAACTGATGTGGCACCCATGTATCGAGCTTCAAAGTGTACCCAACCTTTTTTAAACGACGAAACGCAGTTGAAAATGAAGTTATTTTAAGCTTGATTTACAGTTCGGACTTTCCAACGATATATAATATGTATATATTTCTTTCACGAGCGCCACTCTCAAACGATTCGAACGGCATCCAGGGGAATCGGGCACGAACTTATGCACTCATCCAATATAACAAAGTTAAGGCGAATAGTAAATTTATTAAAGTTCCTTGCGAATTATTATGCTTAATTTCTGCGTAGGAGATTCATAGCCATATAATATTCGTGATTTTCTGCACACTTAAACGACGTTTCCACTTCAAAGATGTTTACTTGCAGCTTTCTACCATACTTTTCAACTAAGAAATTGTTGTTTAAAATAGAGGAACTGTTTCCTTGGTTTCGCCAAAAAAAAACTTGGATAAGAGGGAATGCAGGGAATGCAATTTCATACTTTTAAATAAATAACGGTCTATTTTGGACACCTGATAGGGTTGGATTTTCGCAAAACGGTAAATTACTAAGTAATTAGTAGATCGTTTTCCATAAAAAAAATATATATATACCTTTTTGTATATTCTTTTTAGAAAAGAATTCATTGTCCTTAACATTATTTGTTTAGTCTAACCTAGATCACTTATACAAAGGTCATGGGAGTTCGCATATTGATGCCGCGCCATTTCGAGTCTGCTCAGAACAAATGACCTACCTCTACTTAAATGGGCATGGAGATTCAGTTTAAATGAACTAAAAATGAGATTTTTGTCACACAAAATTATGTATGATGCCTCATGTAGATTCGCTTTCTAATTCAGATGCTAATTGTGAATAGGAATAGGAAAACGAATAAAACTTCTTTCGATGGGGGCTGAGGGATCGATTACATTTTTTTTTACCACATCACCACTAAGAAAAAGCTAGAGAACTTGAAAATTTGTGACTAAACATGAACTTTAACAGTCAAGCTTTGGTTTACTTATGGTTAGATCTCCAATGGTTTATTTAGGCTGAGTTTGCAAACGAATACTTTTATTGCCAATGGGCAATTTCTCTTTTGATATTAATATCCATGTTCATATATAGAAACTCTGTTAGAGCAATTTTTGGCATTTCTTTATTCTTTATTCTTCATTCTTTATTATGCTTTCAGAACAAAAAGGTTTA